CTCTGGAAGCGCGTGATGCAGACCTCATGGCTTCTCGGCAGCTCATGCTTGTGTTTCTCAAAGTATTTAGCCACCTCCTCAGGGTTATGTTGGTCGAGGAATCGGATGGGGCACACGGCAGCAGAGCCTGACGCCGCTACTGACGCGGTGACCGACGCAGGATTGTTGCTGCATATTTCAGCACGGATAGGGTCGGTGAACGAGGGACGTTTTGATCTTCGACCGCGTACGCTTAATCGGGACGTCGAGCTACGTGGAGTGGCAAGCGGGCTGCCTCTGCCACTACCGGATGCGAAGGGACAGGCGAGTTTACTAGGTGTTCCAGCAACAGTGAAGTCTTTCTCTATTGGTGACGTGGCTCTATTGGTCTGTATCTCAGGTAACGGGGCGGGTTTGTCTGCGGACGGACCACTCCATATTTTTACACTGCTATTATTCTCAGACGCATGCAGCTTGACAGCAGCCTCCTCGGCCTTCTGGATGACCAGTGCTCGGCTCTTGCGCTCTACATCATCGCTATTTGCCAACTGCTCCACCAAATTCAAATGTATCCGAGGTTGTTCGTCTCCAACGCGCTCAAGGTCTTGCAGGAAAGTAAGGTGGTCTTGCGACAACGTGTTGGGAGTGAAGCGTTTCAAAAGATCAAGATACTGTTTATCGTCAGCTGTGTCCATAGAGGTAATTGTGTGCTGAGATGTAAGGCGTTGTCCGGTTCAGTACATGATAATAAAAGGTTGTCTGTCAATGCCGCTGTGCAGCTGCAGGTCTAGAGCTAAAATGTATCATCATAGGATAGGGAGGTTTGCGAAAAGTCGCCACGTACCTGTTGCTTTGCCCACGAGAGCTTGCTTTCCAGCTGTTTTTGCTGGTCGAATAAAACCTGGTATTCTCCACTAAGCGCGGCAAAGCCTTCAACGAGCTGCTCAGCGAGCTCTGTCACAGTGTTCTGAGCCTCTTCAGCCATGGCAAGGTTAGTAAAGTGATGCGTGTAATGCTACTGCAGGGCAGAAGAGCGCAGCAATGATGACGCGGCAAGTGAGGCTCGCAGTCGGGAAAGAAGAAAGAAGAACGGAAGCTCGGCAAAGACTATAGCTTCGGAAGCGACGGTTAGTCCGCGCCACGCTTAGTCACACCTCACCAGCCACTCACCGCTGCAGGAGCCACCCGATGCTCCATTGCTTGGGAGTCGCGTCAGGGCTCGCTGCGCCTTGAATACGTTACGTAGCATCTTACCACTGGCATCGATTCTTATACACCATGATACCCTGACTGTTGTTCCACAATTGCATCGAATCGCTCCCCTCGTTAACGTAGAAAAGCACGTTGCACTCCTCTCGATATTTCGAAGCTCCTACCCTACAGACCCAAGCCAAGCACCTCAACAATATTCACCATGGGCTCCCTCCACGATTCCCGTATACACAAGTGGTTTGCGACGTCGCCGCCCGTCGCATGGACAGTCAGGCAGCTACGAGAGCTTCTTATTGGGTCGCTGAAGCAAGGCCCCATTCCGCAACATGTTGCGTTTGTCATGGACGGTAACAGGCGATTTGCGCGAAACCACCATATTGAGACAGTCGAAGGACACAATCTCGGGTTTGAGTCGTTAGCAAGGGTATGGGTGACTGGCATTCAGGTGTCGCAATATTATGCTAACATCGCTACCAGATCCTCGAAGTCTGCTACAAAACTGGCGTCAAGGTTGTCACCATCTATGCATTCAGCATAGAGAACTTCAAGCGCTCGAAGCATGAAGTTGATGCGCTCATGTCCATGGCAAAGGTGAAGCTGCAACAACTGGCTGAGCACGGAGCTCTGCTGGATCGCTATGGTGCATCCGTCCGAGTGCTGGGGCAGCGCGAGCTCATCAGCCCAGACGTACTGGTGGCTGTGGACAAGGCTGTTGCCATGACAGCACACAATAAGAAGTGCGTTAACTTTCGATCCATGAAGAGTATTGCTGACCATGACCAGAGCTGTGCTCAACGTCTGTTTCCCCTACACGTCACGGCACGAAATCACAACCGCGGTCATGAAGACTGTCGAGACGTACAGCACGCCGATACACAACCTGCCTACCCCCTCTAAGCGAACCTTTTCCGAATCGCACATAACCCAGACTATTCGCAAGCAAATGCTGGAGGAGGATACGGAAGGTGTAGCGGAACAGTCTGATTCGCGGCCGGCGTCGCCCTCGTCCAAGGAAGCGACTGCGGCTGACGATGGGCGTTCCTCGTCAACTTCGACCGCCATCAACTCGCCTGAGAAGGATGACTTGCATAATGGGCCGACATTCCTGGATCCAGAGTCAATTAGTGCTCAAACTTTGAACGACAACATGATGACGGCTGACGCCCCGCCCCTCGACCTGCTCGTTCGTACCTCTGGTGTTGAGCGGCTGAGCGACTTCATGCTCTGGCAAGCACACGAGAACACTTCTATCGTGTTTCTCAAGTGTCTGTGGCCCGAGTTCGATCTGTGGCAATTTTTGCCTGTGCTTGTAGAATGGCAGTGGCAGCAGAAGAAGCTGCAGGAGGAGCAGCAGCGGACTCGTGGGCGACCCAAGTCAGACTGAGCGCATCCAGTGCAGCATATGGCGCAAAGCCCTCGCAAGCCATACAACGAGGCAGATCTGAACTTGAGCGAGCATCAAAGATACCCAAGACAAAGCATTCTATTCGTCAACCACTATTCTTTCCACAGCAAACCATATCTTGTAATACATGTCGATCTCGCACTATCGTGGCACGTGTGCATATGCGCAGCTAATGGCCCGCCCATGTCTTGACCGTTTGTGGTTTGCGACCGAACATGCGACACCGCGGACATGCACTAGCTCGTTCTTAGCGCACCGAAGAGCTTCAAACGTCATCTCACCCCCGGAATAACAACCGCTGCTAGGGAGCTCCAGCCGGGATGTGAGCTGAACATGACTTATAATCCGCGCGTTCCGCAGCACCGGGCGGCCATGGCAGCTGTCGTCAGATCCAGAGCATGTAACCTGATCGTGCTTATCGCCCAGTGACACAGCTTACGCACAGGTACCACTTGTTTGGGCCCGGCTACCGACTTCTGAGATAGACTACTTCTTATCAGCAACTTGTTTGGAAAATCCTTGATTTCCTTATAAGCAAGGCACCCTCGCCTCTAGTAACCAGTGCCAATTGCTGGTGCAACAGCAGTAGCGACAACACCATGAACGCCCCAAACCTTCTGACGATACCCATTGAGTTGCGCGAACTCATATACGGCTTCCTCTTCAGCAGTTACACCATCCGACATGGCTTTAAACATGCCGGTGCCCCTAGCGACGACGCAGAGCCTTCTAATCGCATAGCGCTCCTGCTCAGCTGTCGCCAGGTCTTCGCCGAGGCGCATCGCCATCTTCCACTCAACTGCACTCTAGATTTCCGCGGCACAGAGAATCTACTCGAAACACTCCTCTCCGTTGATCAGAGCGTAGTGACGCGACTCCGCCACGTTCGAGTTCGTGCGTATCCTTTCCCGTTGTACTCCTCAGGGAGCTCGCAATACTACCCTACATACTATGCAGCGAATGCCTTTACACTGCTCCCTGGTCTTTGTCTGGATACGTTGGTTGTAGAGGATTGCTGGCATGGTTTCGGTCTGGGTGATGCTTGGCGAGATGTCACAACTTACTTCGACATCGAGACTCTTCTGAACAGCGACGCTTGGAAGGAACTGACGTACATCACACCATGTACCGATTTCATTGCCTCGGGCTACGACCATCGGCGCAAACGGTTGGCGCAACCCGAGAACTGGGATGCGCTTATCAAAGAACGCGATGGAGAGGAGTATGGCGCAGAGGTCAAGATGTATATCGTTCCTTATGCGCAGCACACGGCGACTGGGGACGAGAAGACAGAAGACGGGCGCATAATGCAGCCATGGGCAGCAAAGCCAGGCCACGAAGTCAACGAGAATTGGCGCATCGCGGGACCGGAGCAGGACATGAAGGGCGAGGTGAGGATTATCGCAAAGAGAGGCAAGAGGTCGAGAGCTGTACAGCTTGGGCTTGCCGGAAAGAGGACCTGGGAAGAGTTGAAAGGAAAAGAAGCAGGCGGCTTTGCTCCTGAAGGTGAGCAGTATTCCGAAGCGAGTAATGCGACTACAGCTAGCTTACACAACGCAGGATGGATACCGTACCACAATGACATGGCCGATGCAGTTGGTTGGATATATGGGGGCCACGGGAGGAGGATGCAACTCGCAAACGCTGCCTTACACAGCTGACTACATCGATTCACAACGCAGCCTGTCTACGCGCCTTGGATGTCAACCACGCCAACTCACACCTGAGGGTGGTAAAATTAGCGGCCCCATGGTGGCTTTGTAGATCCTTGTAAGCATTTAGCCTATCTGTACCCGACACTGGGGTGCGACCAGTTTCATGCCGTACACGGATTCCCGGGATGCGATGTGGCGTGGTCCTTACAAGTCGGTCGAATTGCCTCTACACGGCGCGCTGCGAAGACACTGAAGAAGTGTGTTTGGGATACATCAGGATGAACTTTGTGGTATTGGAAGGATATAGTTGCATTATTGTGGTCGAAAGACTATGTCTATTATGACCCCGAAATGGGTAGTCCAAATCATCTCGTAGGATCGCGAGAGCGTACGTGGAATGATGCAAACACCCACTAGCGCTCGAGGCGCGTCAATTTAAACAGGTACCGTCACACAGCCGCACACCACTTGCCTCGCCGCTGCCTTGCAGTGAGCGAGGAGCTTTCCTAATTAGCAAAGTCGCGCTCCGTCGCTCTTGGGAGGTGAAGGGAAGTTGCGGTACAAATACGTTCGTCATGGCACACCAATTATCTGTCGTCGGCGACTTCTCTTCACTTCTTCGACTTGCGGGATCAGAGACGCAGAACCGCGCATTGCTTGGTTGTAATAATTTGGTCGCTGCGGCACCTCATAGGTCTCTTATCCTCATTCCCATGCGATAGCTTTCCGCTACCCAGGTTCTCGTCAACATGGTAAGCACACTAACCGCCTGCGCACGCTGGCCAATCACTGACGGGTATTAGATCCAATCACCCGCCATCGTTCTCATGTCTGCTCTCCACGCTGGATTGTCAGTCGCCCAGCAATATCCGTTACCTGTAACCTATGATACCGTCATCAAATCGCCCGTCGACCCTAGCATCACCATATCCTATAAAACGCCCGACGCCCATTCGTGTGCAACGGCTTTCGAGGCGCAGAAGCAGTATACTGGATATGTCAATCTTCCTCCGTTTACGCTTGAGCCGTTCCAGCAGGATTACTCAATCAATACCTTCTTCTGGTTCTTCGAGGCACGTGAGAACCCCGAAACTGCACCATTGACGATCTGGTTGAATGGAGGACCTGGCGGTTCAAGCATGTTCGGGCTTTTCGGAGAGATGGGACCTTGTGAGATTGTAGAAGGTCCAGACGGCAGCTACACCACGCAGACCAGGGTTTGGGGATGGGATCGCAGTTCCAACGTAATCTTCATCGACCAACCTACCCAAGTCGGCTTCTCATACGATGAGCTCCGCAACGCTTCGGTGGACTTTAGTATACCTGATTATACCGGTCGGGACGAGCTCATGGAACCTTCCCCACTTCCTGCTGACGTTCCCGAATGGCGCTTTAAGAACGGCACTTTCCCTTCTGCTATTCGAGCCAATACAGAAAACCTGACTACTGTTGCCGCACAAGCATCGTGGCACTTCCTCCAAGGGTTCCTATCGGCGTTCCCTCAGTACAACCCTGGCGCTCGACCCCACAGCGATACTATCGAGCCTTGTCATGTCAACCTGTTCAGCGAGAGCTACGGTGGTACTTACGGTCCACTTTTCGCCGACTATTACGAGAGCCAGAATGATCGTCGGGAAAAGGGTGAGATTTCATCCGAAGCGCTCGACATTCGGCTTGGGTCACTCGGCATCGTCAACGGCGCAATGGATGTTTACGGGTCGGCACTTTTTGGCCTGGAGTTCATGTACAACAACACCTATGGCATCGAAGGCATTGACCTCACTACCTATCAAAACTTGGTGTCGGAACTCCACGTAGACATGGGCTGCCAAGATCTGGTGACACAGTGCGGCGCGTTAGCAGCCCTCAACGACCCCGAAGGTCTTAGTACCGACCAAGACGTTAACGATCTATGCTACAGTGCCATCTATAACTGCACAGCGGTTTCTAGTGTTGCCTACACCACTGGTAGGAGTATCTACGACTTCCGAGCTGGTCCAACGGTCGGGCCTGCTGTTCCACTCGCAGAGTATTTGAACGAAGAGGGTTTCCTACAATCCATTGGCGCACCGGTCAACTTCACCTCCACTAGCTATACCGTTGCGAATGTTTTCCAATACAGTAAGTCACTATATGTTATTCCCGGTTGTCTGCGGAACAATCTTACTAATGTCCTGCCTAGATGGAGATGCAGCCCGCGGAGGGCAAATCGCCGCTTTAGCGGATCTGCTTGCTCGTGGTATCAAAGTCGCTCTCATCTACGGTGACGCTGATGTCATATGCAATTGGTATGGAGGACAAAACTACTCTCTTGAGATTGCTGGTCTCGTTCCAGAATACAAGACGGCTTTCCCGGAGGCTGGGTATGCGGACATTGTTGTGAACGATTCCTACATTGGCGGAGCAGTCCGTCAATATGGCAACCTCTCGTTCTCTCGGATTTATGATGCCGGCCACCAAGTACCGTATTACCAGCCAGAGACCGCCTTCACTGTCTTCACTCGCGTCATTCAAGGCGATGACATCAGTATGGGTCGCAATGTCGATCTGTCCAGCTTTGGTACCGAAGGCCCTAGCACTTCTGATCACAAAAACGACGCGGGAACCTCTCCCGCACCGATTTGTTGGATTCGGGAGGCATATCTCAGCTGCACTGAGGAGGAAAATGCTGGTATTACTACAGGAAATGGCACAGTGAAGGCCGGAATATGGTATCCATCGGAGGAAGACATACCAACTAGCGCGTCGCAGGGTGTACCCAAGTCGCGGCCCACTTCGACAACCTCTGTGGCTCTGACAGGTGTGTATAGTGCTACCAGCACCCCGACGGTCAAGCAGACCTCCGGAGCATCGTCGCTTAGGCTGAACCTTCCATTTCGCCTTTCGCGCCGCGACATCCATGCGGACCTGTTGTTGGCGGAAGATGAAGCTTACAGCCGTGGACGCAACGTAAGGAATGGTCTCATTGGAGGTCTTGCTGCGGCTATCGCTCTGCTGTTGTGAGTGCATTGCACTCTTCTCATATTTGTCATATAGACCAACTTGCACGCTCATTGAAGTCCACTCTCTTCCTTCAACACTTCGCAAACCATTCGTCACATTGTGGCTGTCACACACGTTCTTGTTCCTCAGAGATTGATTTACTGAAAGATGCGGTATAGAGGTCTACTTTCCATGCTGTGTTGCTGCCGATGCTTCAGACGCCGAGAGGTCTACAAAGGGCCCTTTCCGGACGACGGCGAAAGAGGCCCAATAGTTGTCAAGCAGATGATCGATGACAGACCAGCGCCAACGTACTCTGGTCGGCCAATAGCACGTCTGGATCCAATACCAGAGGCAAGCCCAAGACCCAGCGACGATTTGAGAGATAGAACAGCCATCGCGTCAGGCCAGCCAGTATCTATGCCAGATATGGAAGAGGACCCTTTCGTTTCACCCGTCCAGCGATCGACCCCCTTACTGCAGGATGCAGGGCTGTTAACACGTGCACCAAGCAGATGGCCTACAGAGACCATTGCAGCGCCCACGCCTCCTCCTCCTGAGCCAGATGTTGTCGCACCTCTGGCACTGGCGATGTCCGTGCCGCCTACGCCACCAGAGCCCTTGCCAACCACAACAGCGCCGATAAAAACGCCCTCGCCTACCCCAGCACAGCCAGTACCGCCTTTACTTGAGTCAACACCCTCTCGAGACCCAGTACCTACGTTAGTACAACATACAACTACGTCTCTCCCTTCCTCGCCACTTCATATCCCGATAAGCGTGCCGCCATCGCCTGTTCCGAAGCCAAACATAGAAACATTGCTAGCGCCTCCGCAGCCGTCACTCTACACACGTATCAAGTCTATGTTTATAGTTATACCAGGGGGTCAGGAAGCTGCTGTCCAGACTGACGGATCTGTTGATCGACGAGTGCTGTTGCCGCGCGTTGTTGTAAGATTACCTTCTTCCAAGCGTGCACCGACAGCTGCAATACCAACGTGGTCCACTGAGGTCTGGTTATGATGCAAGCCTAAATTCCAAGTAGCATTCATGCCGGAAATACGGTGTGTCTTGTTGGTGATGGGATCACGCGCTTCAAGTAGCCGGGGGCAGATTTGCTGATGACTGACGAATTATTGATACTGGAGGACAAGACACGGCAGCACGGTAATGAGCGTGAAATTGGTTAGAGAAAACGAACAATAGCAGGAAATACATGCTCGAGCGCAAAGGGACTATTGTTTCATATGCATTGACCCGTTTCGAAGTCGATCTATCTTACTATTGTTCTGCCGTCTATACGGCTACCTTGACTCTATCCAGAATGTGGCTAACATACTAGCAGACCCTAGCCTGGTCATTATCTTCTAGACAAACCCTAAACTTCCAACGGCACAACGTCGACGCTGCTTGTCTTCACTTTGTCTTCACCAGTAGCGAGTATCGCTATGATTGCACGCATCACGCCTGTTGATCATGCTGCAAGATTATTACGCTGGGGCCTCAGCTAGCGCATGAAACATCATGCCCATACGAAGGAATTTTGTTATACTGGCTACATCCTCCTATTAAGATATCGCAGGCATCTTCCTACTGTGTTCTATATTGACACAGAAACAGATCAGATGACTGCGATTTCACCTAGAGTCGGTCACGAACAAACAGGCTCCCTTGTACTTTGCAATATGCGATTAACATGTTGACGGAAGCGCATGTTCTCATGTTTTGGCAAACGAGCGGTTCTGATTTGGTTGCGAGTACCAACCAATCTGCGGAGAGTCAACGCGAACCATGGTAGAGAGGCGAAACTGGTTGATCTGATCACTGCAATAGGTCTACAACTTCCATGTCGGTAGTGACGAACAGTCTCAAGCAGAAGCCACTGAGGATATCTGGATTCCTCCAACAATTACAGCAAGCAGTAGAATGACCGTGCACTACTTCACCTTCGTCGAGCTGCCTCGAGAAGGAGCGACCCACTACGACCCTCGCCTCACTCTCACTATAGATAACATATTGAATACTCGCCTTTCCACTGATTTCAGCCCTTTACAAACTATACTACGGTCACGAATAATTCAACTCTACCAAAATTACAATGACAGTCTTTGCAAACAAGCAAGATTTCAACAACCTAGGTCTTGAGCAATTTCGACAGTCGCACACACATGCCTCGCAGGACTGCTCCATATGTCTCCAGCCTCTTGCCGTTCACCCCACCAAAGACGGTATCCCCGACCCAAAATGCCATGCCGCCATTCGCGTCGCCGCCTGCGGCCACATTGTCGGCAAAGACTGTCTAGACGCCTGGCTTGACGTCGGTCATACCTGTCCAACATGCAAACGCCTACTCTTCGAAGCCACTGGTGATCCTATCACACAGAGAGATATCAACCGCATCCTCCGTACACTGGGTCCGAGTTTTGGTGAGGATGCGATCATGGTGGTTGTTGCACGACTTATGGCCCGTCAGGAACAGGAGCGTGCGCGAATGAGACAGGCGCATGAGATCGAAATGGAGAAGATTAAGGCGGAGGAGACGCAGGAAAACTACGATAAATTTTCGCTTTCTGACGAGGACTTCTTGGATAGTGGTGATGAGATAGATTTTGACGAGGCTGACGACGACAAGGAGATTGAGCTAGGAGAAGATGAGGATGGTGACTTCGAGGAAGAAGAACAAGACGAGGATCAAAACTAGACTTTATTGGGTTGCTGTAGTTTGTGGGACTTATAGCAGATTATGGCAGGTTTTTGATGGACGGGCGGCCGCTTACTTATAGTGTCCAAACCCGTTTTGCTATCGGACTCTGGAATATGACCTGCATTTCGAGCTATCGGCGCAAGGAAATCTAGGCTCCTCTATCATCATTTTCATCTAATCACTTACTCTCAACTCTTAGGTTTGTCCACATCAAACCCGTAACCGGCACCTTGGCCACCGCAAATCCAATCAGCACCTTGACTTGCAGGTTATACGCCTCCCCAAACAACATCCTCACCCGCTCCAGAGTTTCGGGTGAAAGATGTTGCACTAACTCTGTCCTTTCTAACAAGCTTTCTGCGAGTTCCAAGGGAAGGATATCGGTCAGGTGGGAACGAATGTAAGGTGTGGAAATAGATGTCACAATAGCGATACCGACCAGACCGCCCAAGGTGCGGAACTGCGACGTAGCTGCTGACCCAACGGCTAGTAATTGTCAGTAACATGACACTTGAAGTTACGCGCGTCAGGATATAATGTGCGACTTACCCAAATCCCTCTTCTCCATCGCATACGGCACAAGCATGATAAGTCCGGAGTTGACAAGACCGGTTCCAGTACCCGCAATGATCTGGTATGCATACTGACTAGCATCAATGTGCGACGAAGTGTCAATCCATGCGAGCAATGTGATACCAAGAACCTCCATTAGAGAGCCTGCGAGGATGATCCAGCATGGCGGTATCCTGGGTTTTCCCATCAAAGCGCCGGCAACTCCACTGCCAAAAGGTACGAAAGCGCCGTATGTGAGGAGGCGGACGGCAGCTGCGAGAGGGGAAAGGCCGTTCACAGTGATGTAGCGTTGGGGAATCTGTGCGATGCATACGAACATGACTGTGCCGGAGAGATAGGTATTTCTGGAGTATACGTTAGAATGGTTTGAGGAGATGGTAGAATTTGGCAGACATACATGATCATGCCCAGCTGTATGCGACTTTGGCAGAAGCGCCAAGGGAAGACAGGCTCTGGGTTGGTGCGATGCTGCGTTGCGTACCATTGCCATGTGAAGAAGGCGATCGCAAAAGGTGCAGAAGCAACGAGTAGGGGAAGAACTTTGTTGGAAGACCAGGCATAGTCTAGCGATGCTTGTTGCAGACCTGTAGCAAGCAACACAAGAGTTCCCAGCATCAACGTCGCGCCTAGAAAGTCGAGCCGACGGAGAGTGTGTTTTGAGAAAATGGGGTGTTTCTGCTGCGCAGCAGGTTCGTTGAAGAGTGTTCTCGGGAGTGTGAAGCACAGTGAAATGGCAGTAAGAACTCCTACAGGAACGCTGATCATAATGTCAGTAGGCTCTATGAGTTCCTTCAGGAAAGACACATACTTCAAAAGGAAGATCCACCGCCAGCTTCCGTGCAGTGTGATACCACCACCAAGAAGCGGCCCTGTGATCAAACTGAGCGCAAGCACCATACTAACACCCGCCATGTACTGTGGAAACTTCCTCTTTGGAACAATCTCCATGAACAGGAGTTGAGTGAGGGCATATACACCACAGCCTCCGATACCCTGGCACCATCTAAACATGACAAGCTGTATGAGTGTCTGGCTAGCCCCACAGAGTGCCGAGAACAAGGTGAAGATGAGTAGTGCAGCGATGAGTGTGTACTTGCGTCCTGCGATGTCCGACAGTTTCGCCCAGATCATCTGGAGACCTTGAGTGAGGTTAGACAAGCAACTAATCCGATATTATAATGCAATACTTACTGCAGTACGTCAACATGTACGCTGTGAAGAGCCATGAGCTCTTCTCGTAGCCGCCTAATTCATCGGTAATGTCCACAATAGCGGTACTGATGATTGTAGACTCGAGAGTCACAAGGAAAATAGAGACCGTAAGACAAGTATTGATCAGGTAGAGCTTGATACCTGTGATATACTTCGATTCATCAGCCGTAGCCACGGTCTCGGCTTCATTGGGGGATGAGGTGTCTGTAAACGCCTTCTCGACACTTGAAGTGTCCATCACGATATCGTCTCTCGAAGTAGAAGACATCTTTGTGTTCTGATCTGAAAAACCTGTGAAAAAAGCCGAACACAAAGGGACAATATATTATAAAAGGGTGACTATCAGGGGTGTAACAACTGTGCCTCCTAGCGAAAGTGAACACCTCATTCTCCATGCACTTACGATAAGACCGTGCCATGCATCACTGGCTATCAGAACGCATGTATCTAACAACGCACGGCGAAGGATACCGTTCAAGTCCTGGCCGCCCGACGGTATCACAAATCAAGCCTTTCAACTGCCGCATGATGTTGCGAACCGATAGTAAGCTGACGGTCCCCAGACGATGGTATCACAAGGACGCCGCAATAAAGATGTTCCTTGGCCCCCATATACGAGCCGGAGTAAGATGTCTATATGTGTGGCTGTTCTCGGTGTGCCCGAATTCATGTGGGTGGTGAAGGATACGCCCCGAAGGATGGTTGTGGGGGCGGGGCTATGCGATTGGGGCCACTATTGCCGCCCGCCTCCCGCCCGGGCGTTGCTTGTTGAACCGGGAGAACTAAAAGTCAACAGTAGTCTTGTACCGAGAGACTGGTTAAATGCCCGTCCAAGACCCAATTAGCGAGGCCAATATGCAAAGACCTGTGGGTTAACGAATTGTGCAAGGAAGCTGCGCCTCTCGTACGCCCTGACGTGGTGAGGTGTAACCGATGAAAGTGGCCCGACGCGAATACTTTGCGAACGTATCTATGATGGATTGTTTTCGCGAGACACGGTCAATCTTACGAAGGCGCTCGCTTATCTTGGGATCTTTGCGACAATTTAGCCTGATGTTTTCACTGTCTCTTAGTTAATCGATGAAACAAGAAAGAAGGCAGCCTCGGTCTTTAGAGTAGGCCATATCAACATGATAGTAAAGTCAAGCCTTCTTCGTGTTATCCCTCATACTCCTAACACAAGTTTTGACACGACTGCCGTCGCCGCGAATGTCGGAATCCGTTTTCCACTCCCGTCGCCAATCTGGCCCCATGGGATGGCGCTTAGACTGGCAGAATTGATGTTGAGATGGCCATCGTCGCGGTCGGCGACTCAAAGATGGATGACTGCAGATGCGATAGCTTCACAGATCGTGGTTAGCCTCGGTTTTCTAGATTGATAACTGCCACCACAGCCGCTTACTTGTGGGTCGCCACTATGCTCGAACAGCCATCGCGCTTACACCCTCAGTAGAACTAACACGAAGAAGAGCCGTGAACCAACCTCGAACTGGGGCACATACATACGATTTTAGTAGACTATCGAGTGACGAGTTTCTCTGCTGTCAACTCCAAGCGCCACTGCAATCGTGCTGGTATGCCTGATATGCTCGATATGCTGTTAATAGAGACGTCTTTTCTCAGTGAGGATCGCCTAGCATAGCGGATAAATCGACGGCAGTCAATTAGCGTTGTCTCGGAGAGAGAGATAGAAAACCAGAAGGCTGAATGGTGGAAAAAGATAGCAGACGCGGGAGGAAGCTCCTACTGCCACTGAAGACCATCGTAAGCTGCGAACGAGGATGAGATGCCCACATGTTGGTATGGTGGTGGCTGATTGTCTAGCTAGAGGGTCCAGGGCGGAAAGACTGCACGGAAGGAGCTTTGATGCGTCTGATAGAGTTGGTGACAATATGAGGAAAGCCCTACGGTGTCGCAAGATATAAAGTCAAGCGCCATGGAGGCTCAACTCTAGCAGTCTCGATCATAAGTTTCTCCAAATCACCCATACCTGAACCTCTTTCTACTCTAGCTCAGAATGATCATCTCCATTCCAATCACCATCGGTGTGGCCGTAACCTATGTCAGTGACTCTTCAACGTATGATACAGTCTCGACTTACATGAAGACAGTTTGTGTGCTGCGCCGTATACAACCTATGGTTCCATCCTCTTGCGAAACAGCCAGGGCCGTTCTTTGCTCGTATCTCAGGCATTCCCTCATTCTACCACGCCTGCATAGGAGACCGTCACATTTGGTCTTGGAGGCAGTTCCAGATTTATGGTACATTCGACTCCAGACTTCCTTCATACGTCCCACTGACCCCCTTCCCTAGGCGACAAATTCCGAGCGACTCCAAATCTTCTTCTCTTCCAGACACCTGAAGCTTACAATGCCATGTTCGGTCACAAAGCGAACGTCAAGAAGTCCCCGTTCTATGAAGTATGGAGGCGTAACAAACACGACCTCAACACATTAGGCTGTACCGATGTTGAAACGCACGCCAGGAGGAGAAAAGCCCTCTCACTAGCTTTTACCGATCAGTCAGTCAAGGCTACCGTACCTTTTGTAGCTCGGCATGTCGATCGCTGGAACGAGTTACTGCCCGGTGAGATTTTCGGTGTCGAGGGATGGTCTGGACCGCAGAACCTTACGGAGTGGACTGACTTCTTGCTCTTCGACATGTTCGGTGACATCTGTTTCGGCAGTTCCAACAATACCAAAGAGCCTGGGCCGAACAATCTGAAGCGTATTCCGTACAACATCACTAGATACCTGCGCTTTTATAATCCTGTGAGTTGCTGTTAGCCCCTATGATAACCCTTGTATTCAGTCTGACGGTCGTAGCTCGCCAAGTCACCATTTCGAAGCTTGTTGCTTTGGCTCAAGCCTCGTGGTTTGGATAACTTGATGAAGCTCATCACTCCGAAGGAGATCAAAGAGTACTTTGCCTTTACTGAAAATCTGGCCATGAGCCGCGTCGAGTCTGAAAGGAAGAACGAAACCGAAAAACGTCCAGCTGAGCGTGAAGACATGTTCCACTTCTTGTGCACAGCCAAGGACCCAGAGACGGGTGATTTTGCGCTGAGTACCGAAAACTTGATAGCCGATGCAAATCTGCTCACTGTTGCCGGCTCAGACACCACGAGTGCGACAGTAACCGCGCTCTTCTTCTTCCTCACTCGCAACCCGAAAGTGTACACAAAGCTGGTCCATGAGATTAGGAACAACTTCGGCAGTGCTGAAGATATCGGCTCAGGTCCGGATCTGATGGCAAAATGCGAGTACCTCAGAGCAGCGGTGTATGAGACCTTGCGCCTCTCGCCAGCTGGCCCTAGCGAGCTTGAACGCACTGTACTTTCGGGTGGCATCAGGATCGCTGGCGAACATATTCCTGGAGGTATCACGATCGGAGTGCCCAAGTGGTCGCTCGGCCGGAATGAAGCCCTCTGGGGTGATTACAACACCTTCCGCCCAGAGAGATGGATCGCCTCCGATTCGAATACGCAAGATGAGGTGAACCACTTGAAGCGATCCTTCCATCCTTTCTCCAAGGGCGTAGGGAGCTGCCTAGGTCAGAAGATGGCAATGATACAACTTTGCATGATTGTTGGAAGAACTCTCTGGAGATACGACGTGCGACAGGCTCCTGGACAATGCGTCGGAGAAGGTCGTCCTGATCTTGGCTGGGGCAGAAGGAACCGTGGCCACTTCCAGCTGAGAGACGCGTACATTTCTCTCCGTGAAGGCCCGATCGTCCAGTTCAAGAAGCGGGTGCTATGATCGTGGCCTGTGTGCCGTAGTAGGGCTATAGACTGAAGTCTGGAAGTTGCTGAGCAAGGCTGCAAGATTAGTCCTCGTTCTGTTCTCTTATTGCATCAATAGAAGGTGCGAATTCGCGAGTCAATCTGGTATTAATGCTCTGCCGTCTTTGCTATTGCATGCAGCTCGAAGTCACCATCGCAAGGCAGACGAACTGAATGGTCGCTTTAATCTATCACGATGGAGTTGCTATGGAAAACAGTGCGTTGCTCATTGTTGAGAAATTCGCAGGGACAGCGCCAGTAGTGAAAACTAGCTTCGGTGAAGCGATCGCAGTAGGAGTGGCGAGGACAGCGTTGCATGCGTGCTTTAGATGCGCGCCGTTATCTTAGTCATCGACCCTGCCTCTATGGTCGTCTGTATTAAACCGTAAGAACACCCACTAGTTTCGACCAAGATCTATCGTACTCGTCGACGCAAACCGACCTCACTGCAGATATTCACCTTAGCTGGGGACACGCTAAATTACTGGCATGAAGGGGACATTTCACTAACTGCTGCAGCAATCATACGATATCATACTTTTTGTATGTAAAACAAAAACCCAATGGAGTGGCATTCAACGATGGGTTGGCTGACGATATCGGAATGCTGCCCAATCACTACCAACCCTCGACAATACCTGCTCGATACCTTGTCACTACTAACCCAATCATTTCCAGCAGCAACTACTCCAGGGTTCAAGACACGTGAAAGGTGGTGTTCCAGACTACAAAAGCAAGAGAGGCGAAGGCTTATGGTAAGGGGAGATGTGTCGCTTTCCGGTGAGCGCGTTCGTGAGTCATAGGCCGACGATCCATGCAACCCCCCAAAAGTCGTGCACACCAGGCTGCACCCTCCCAACTCCAACCCTCAGCGATCATCCCCGCATTCAAGGTCTTTGGTATGTTTTCCTATCGCCCACCGACGCCCTTGTTGTCGCCGTGATTTTGCATTCTATTGTTTGCGCTTTGTTGAGCGCGTGTTGAGTGTGTGCGCATTCAAAGCCGGGGAGGCGCAGCTGTCTCAGATTGTCGCACGCATTCCAAAGGGCGGCAACTCAACCATAAGATTTCAAGGAGACGTGTCGCGATGAGATTTTTCTCTTCAGTCTGCGCGGGCGATGGCGGCCACTGTGCGGCAAGTGAGGCGACGGGGTCGAGTGGACGGGCTGGATTTGGGCCATCGCTCAATCCGGGTCAGTGCGTCGTCATCGCTGGTAATGAGGTAAAGGCACCGGCCGACCTGCGAGCATCAGTAAGGCAGCAGCAACATCACCACCGCTGCACCTTCCAGTATGGCATGCACAAGCAGCCGGCGGCACCGCGACCACGACAGGCAAGCTGCATCAGTGACTGCGACATGGCATATGCGGAGTGAAGCTGGGGAAGTGAAGGGAAACGGTCACGCATGATGATGGGAGCCCCTTTTGCTCACAGCAGAATCTTCTCGCTACCGGCTATCTGAAGCTAAGCCCCAATCGCCGCTGTACCCCTGCTCGCTAGCGCGCCTCACAGGGCTTGGCGGGCGGGCTCCCAGCACTATAAGTTCTCGGCCTCCCCCCCAACTTTTTCACGAGATTTCCGCCGAGCCCGCCGTTGTCGCAACACCTCAACCTCTCTACACCATCATCGCCGCACTTGAAAACTCACATTTTCAGCTGCGTGCTCACTAACACTGCGACTCAAAAACTCCGGTGTGCTAAATCCGCACATATCCACTCTCTCAGAGGTCGCGATCGGCGCTAGCTTCATCCAGCTTGCGACAGCCCAACAGCAGCCTCATCCCCAGTCGCAATCTCGACTTACCCCGCCAAAGGCTTGCTGGCTACGCTTTTGGTCACCTTAATTACTCCACTAACTCGCCGTCGTCTCTGCGACAGCTTACTACTCGACGGCATACTTGTCAACGTTTGCGAGGGACACATTCGCTTGTAGCTCTCCTGCCTCCGGTACCGTCTCCACCTATTCCATAGACAGACACTCCTCCGGCGTCGACCGACCTCGCTCTACACATCGCGATCTCGTAGTCCGCCCGGCTTGACCGTCGCTGCCGCTTTAGAACACACTCTGACCTGCGCAGTCTGTCAAGATACCTCTCACTCTCCTCAAGAGTCTATCGCTCCAATTCCAATCATAAATTCATCATGGATCCAAACTCCCTGACTTCTCACCCGTCCACCGCCGCACAGGCTCAGACGGTAAGCTCTCGTGATGTTTCCCGTTTGTCAAACTTGTTCTAACGTTCGCTCTCAGTTCGTTGCTCCTGGATCTCTCTCCTACCCCCAGGGCGCGAACCTCGACCTGACTGCACCTGCCACTGAGCAGAACACTCAGCAGGTCGCCGAAAATGCGAACGGTGTTGCGACGCCTGCGGCTACTCCCGATACACAGAACGGTCAAGTGCCTTCTGGCATCGTGCCTACTCTCCAGAACATCGTGGCTACTGTCAACCTGTCCGCTCGCCTTGATCTCAAGACCATCGCTCTTCACGCCCGTAACGCCGAATACAACCCCAAGCGTTTCGCTGCTGTGATCATGCGTATTCGCGAGCCTAAGACGACGGCCTTGGTCTTTGCGAGTGGAAAAATGGTTGTAACCGGTGCCAAGTCTGAAGATGACAGCCGCCTTGCTTCCCGCAAATACGCGCGGATTATCCAGAAGCTTGGGTTTAGCGCAAAGTTCACCGTATGTTGTGTCGGACTGAGTATCCCTTCTTCAATGCTAACATTGACATAGGACTTCAAGATTCAGAACATTGTCGGCTCCTGCGACATTCGCTTCCCCATTCGTCTCGAGGGTCTTGCATCTCGCCATCACACTTTCTCTTCCTACGAGCCTGAGCTGTTCCCTGGTCTCATCTACCGTATGATGAAGCCGAGAATTGTCCTCTTGATCTTCGTGTCTGGCAAGATCGTCCTTACTGGTGCCAAGGTCCGTGAGGAGATCTACCAGGCCTTTGAGCTCATTTACCCAGTCTTGTCGGATTTCCGCAAGTCTTGAGCGACCTTCCCTCTCCAGATTCGGCTTCAACGAGCCTTGACTACACACCCCAGCTGGTGACATGGCTATGACTTGGACCTTTTCTTCTAACTTGTCATTTTTGCGGCATTGCATGGTGTTACGGTGGGCGGCATTTCCTTCTTCATGCCTTTTCAAAACTCCAAATTACCCCTCGACACGATTAGACATCTGCACGCGAGGTGCCTTCAACCCCTCTTAATCCTGGTCACGAAGGCTTTTTACTCTCTTCTCTTTTACTGGCGGGTATGATCACGTCGGCGGCTGGCGTGTGGGATGATACCGAGATTGCTTTATTGAGCCGAGGAAGGAACGTGTGGACGTTCGGAGAGTGCGACCGTAAAAGCTCGCACTGAGGGCTCTCAGAGGTTGACGATATGACACCAGAGTTCCTCATAGATGTTGGTGCTTCAAGCATCCATCGTATGTGTACATGACCCTTAGCCTTGAGACAGGTTAGGCAGTAATGTTATCATGACATAATACTTTGTTTCCCTGCTTGTGACGTGGTGTGGTCTGCGAGGGTGATGTCCTTTCCGTCCGTGGGCTTTGTTGCGTTCCAGTATGTGAGAAGTCCAGACCAGTGTGTACCTGTCGGGGCTCGGAAGGTCGTACGAGAGGAAGGGGCCAACGAAGCGGCGAACGATGAACTTGCAGGTGCGCTGCAGTCTCTTGCGTAGAAGAGGTCAATTCACCTGTAGCCGCATGTGCACTAAGCTCGGAAGGGAAAGTTGCGACAAACGCACTGCGACGTACACGCGCGTGGACGCAGGGAGCCTTTACGGGTGTCCATTGTGATGGAAGGCAAGAAACGATCAAAGTCGCAAGGTATTCGATCCTCGAAGTCCCAGCGAGAAGATGACTGTCGAGTTAGCAAGTTTCTAAGACATTTCTCGCTTCAAGCGGGTACTATATTAGACTTAAGTGTTAGAAGATGAGTTGCGCCGTTGCATGTCTCAGTTAGCGGTCGTAGTCTGCTTGGCTCGGGTAGGGGTCTTCGTCGATAATGTTTCGAAACATGACGACATGGAAATGACGTGCAGCGTTTCTAACAACGTCTGTACTATTGTTGCGGTTGAGGCTGTCGTGAGGGGTATAACGTTCTACTTTGGTCGTTGCATGAAGTGCAGAGAGAATAAAAAGGGAGGCGAGAGTTGAGATTTTTGATCGAGAACTGTGTAGCGAGCCGGATTATATCTACTGTCAGAAACGCTCCGCGTGATCAGGAATTTGTAGGGTAGAGGGTTAATGTGCGGGTGGGAAACGAGTGGGTCGCGCGCATATGCATGAAGCGCGCGTCAGTAGCTTGGCGCCTTCCTCCTCCTCCTTTCACAGCAACACCATGATCGCATAGCTCATCCTCACCTCAGTCCGCCATGTAGCCGCCATTTCACTTCTCTAGCCATAATTTGTAATATCCTCAGACCGATGCATACCTTCCTTACGCCTTACTACTACTGCCGCCGCCATGATGCGCATTCCACTCTTCCGCATCTGGTACTCGACCACGTACACGACCCTTCTCATAATCCTGCTCCTCCTCCTCGCCGTCACGCCTGCGGATACGATATATCAATCAATCAAATCTGAAGAACTTCAAAAGCTTTTTGTCATCGGTGGCGTCTACCTGCTCACTTGTTTGATCGTACTGTTGATCTACTCGACGCGCATCTACACAAATAGGACTGTGCTTGCGGCGATACCGAAGAGCTATGTGCCAATCGAGGAAGGAGAGGTGGGTAAAGGGGTGCGGAGGATGATTGTGAAGCATTTCAAGAGGAGTGCGGTCATTGCATGGGACAGCAGGCCGAGGGATGTTAGGGGTGAGGTTGACCTAGATGAGGAGAAAGGAGAGGAATCACGGCCGAACACAGCGGAGACGAGGAGGGAGAAGCACAAAGTGCACAAGAAGAAAGGCCACCATCACCATCACCATGCGCCTGATGCGACAATCATCCCCGT